GGACCTGTCAGGGGTATGATATGTTAGCAGTTTTCATCCACCTGGGTTAAAGATGCGAGGTTTCTGTGGTACCCTCGCTATTTCTCATGGCGACATTGGCAGAGATTCCAGTAACAGCCGAACCCCTTGTCCGTCTTTCAGTCCTTCAGGGCGTGGCGTATGCAGGCCGCGCCTGCCAACAATGGCCTGCGACGGGACCTCCTGAATTGGCGACTGCACGCTGCCTTCCGGGTGTGGCGTGAGCGCACGCAGGGCGCCGACAACGACCAGTCCTGCAGTTCCAGTCTCAGCAACCACTCCTCCTCGGCTGGCTACACCAGCTCGTCGGGGGCCAGCGAGCTGGCGGGGATCTGGAACAATGCACAGAGAGGCAGAATGGTCGGTGGGGAGGGTGGGACAGCCCCACAGTGACTCCCTTTAGGAGGGACTCCTTTACCAGGGGAGGGACTCCCTTATCAGGGGAGGGACATTGTGTGCCTTTAGTCCATCGGCCGCATCCTAGGCAGCTATTAGGCTTCTCTAGGCCTGATTGCACAGAAAAGAGTACGGATGACTTCAACTAGACCCATCAAGAGAATGACAACAATGACACAGTTGCCAGCATAAACCTCAACTCTGGACAGATTATTAAAGCCGGAGATTCACAAAACTTTGAGAAAGTGTTACCTCAGTCTGATACAGCTGAAAATTATTTTTATTTGGTATTCATTTTATCCTTAATAAGTGTGTAATATTTGCTGTTATACTTCTTTTATGGTGTCTACTTTTTTTACCCAATATTTGTTCTTAAGCTACTGCAGTTGATAACCTCTAGATGTGGACATAGAGATTCCAGAAGGTAATCTCTTAAAGAGATTACCTTTTGTATGAAAAACCCTGATCTAAAGGTCTTATTAGTGTGCTGTTCAAGCATATTGTGAGAAATGAGTTTTTGTATTTGGCCTATGCTGAGAAGTGCAATAGTCTGGTTAGAGCAAAGACCTCTATGCAAATGTATCTGTAACAAAATACAGATTTTCGTACCCGCATTTCAAAGTAAACAGGGTTCCTGCGGCCTGGAAAAGTCATGGAAATTTGTTTTCGTTTTCCAGGCCTGGAAAAGTCATGGAAGTTTTTAAACAATGTGTGGGATTTCTATTATCAAAAATAAGTGCATAAATTGTGTGATTTTATTCGCAACTTAAAGGTCTAAATAGTCCAAGAAATTGCTTTATTGGGTCATGGATTTTCATAATTTGGTCATGGGAAAAGTCATGGAATTTAATTGTCCTTTAGGCGCAGGAACCCTGTGTAAACCTTCAGTTATTGTTATAAATCTCAGCTATAATGAACTCCTTCTATTTATACAAGTAGCATTTATGAACAATTCTGCTGTGGAATCGAAGACATCTGTGTATAATTACAATACTACAAAATCACAGTACTTCACTACCGGGCAACTACCGAAACGCCTTGGTGGGAAAAATAGTCTTGGACTCGGAGTAAAACTTTAACCCCTCTATGCTTGAAACAAGTGACGGAGTACAGGTTTTTTCGTCATACCCCTTCCCCTTTTTTATAATGCATCTGACTGAGAAAGTAAAGTATGTAGTTATGTCTGACAGAATTTTGGCCCAAGTGGATTCCTTTCAGACCTCCAAGCATTATACCTCCCTATCTGGTGTTCAGTCATACTTTTCTGTCACAAGTGTCGCTCTTTGTGGTTTAACTTGGAAACACTGTTAGGATGTTTTCCTATCCCCCACCTCCACGCTGTTTGTACATGCATGTATATGGTTTATTTGTGGCCCCTTTTTTGAGTACTTTAAGTGTTCGCATCAACTTCAAAGTTTCCGTGTGTGGGGATCCTCGCTGCGACCCGCGGAAGAAGTTTGCCAAATAGTAAGGTCATAATAATCTGGCCAATTCCTATTTGGCTCATACTGAAACTAAGCACTTACATGTACATATAGAAACATCGTCCTGTTTATTTCATTGCATTTTAGTGACTTCTTTGTTGATAGATATGAACACCTGATCCCACTACCCACCACTGTTAAACACATGAGGCTTTCACTGAGAAATAACCCTGTTCGGAATAGGGCCGAAATGTTCATGTATCATGGTGTTTCAATAAAATAACACATTTGAACCTTTGAGTCTTTGATCGAAAGATTGTTAGGCCTATAAAGAAACCAAGCATGGGTAAGGGGCCCACACCCTACCGTTTTTGAAGTTGTGAAGTTTATTAGATTTTGCACAAATTCTGATAAAAACATTGTCACTGAGCGTCGTCATGTTGCCCCGACTTCATAGCAAATTTCTGGAAGCATCAGTACACGCAAATAGGGTCAGCCTTGAAGTATTCCGATCAACGGGATATGACGTGAGGTTTTTGATTGGAAATTGCGTCTGGTGTTGCTGCATATAAAAACGGAAATAGTTTATCGTGTTGGTGTGATGATTTCCGTTAGAAAAGTGAAATTCGGCTCCATTCGACGCCTAGCTATATAGGCCTACACTCCAGCGACATCGAAAAAAACGTGAGAAGGCTGAGTAGGACGACGGTGACCGTTGGAGATAAAGCTTTTTGGGTTGAGTCGGTAGGCAAGTGTGCCTGTAAAAGCGAATACTCTGCTCAGTTCGATTGTTGGCGACTACTTCAACTGCTGATGACATAGCTGTTTTGTAAGTTTTGATATGTGCGTAACTAGAAAACGTCCACGAAGCCTGGAAATTTGCATCAGAAACAGGATGGGCATGCTACCCCATGCACACTTGCCTGATTTGAATTGAAATAAATGTGCTTTAAACTCTGGGATGCAATTTTGAAATTTTCATTTCAAGAAATTTTGCGGGATTTATCGTGGTTCTAATGAATGAGGTGAATGTGAAGAGCTTTATATGAAAACATAAACTTACAGAAAAGGGAAGACAGAGAAAGACAAAAAATAAGGAAACGAGATCTTATCTGTCTGTTTGCCAACAGAACAGAGGGCTTTTTCGCATTGATTTGCAATTTTGAACAGTTTGTGTATACTGGAAAAGTAAAAGCAAAAAATTAGTCAGTGAATATAATTTAAAACGAATTTTCAACAGAGAATGTTTTATCAGTGTAACTTTGGTTTATGTGATATATTGATGATGTTCATGTGACTGATCATATGATGATGTCATCTGCAAATCGTGTGAGTTTTTGACTAAAACATTTGCATTTATAGATACAATAGATAAAAGGTTTCAGCCGAATCTTACATGTAGTTTAGAAGATATAGTGATTTTAATAATAAGGGAATAAAAGTGTGGTGGAGCGTGTATACGATACACGCAAGGTTTCAAAGCAATTGGGACTCTGTTTAGGAAATATAATGCTTTAAAGAGTGCCCCTTCAATGTCACGTGCCTGTGACGTGATGAAATTGTCAACACATCATGCCAGTTTTCATCTCAAACACATCCCTTTGTGGATACATGCAAGGTTTCAACCCGATCGGACACTTAGTTAATGTAGCCGTTTTAAATCTGTGTACAAAAAGCTATGGGAAAAAAAATAAAGATTGAAAATTTCAAAATAATTCACATGATGACTTCATCTTGACGTCACTACTTTGGTAGAATATTTGCCTGATCATCTGTGCTTGGTGTAACTTTTAGACCGATTCAAGTCTGCTAGCGGAAGAAATTGCAACTTGAAATCTATGTACAAAGTCTATGGGGAAAATTAAAGATTTAAAAATGCAAAACAAATCATATGATGACGTCATGATAACGTCATCAATTTGGAAAATACTTTGCATGTGGGTCGTCATTGGGTGTAAGTTTGATAATGATTGAAGATTGCTAAGTGACCAAAATTGTGCCTTAAAAACGTGTACAAAGTGAATGGGCCGAAAAAAAATTGAAAAATCAATAAAAAAAATCACTTGATGTCGTCATCATGACGTCATGCTTCTATGCACATCTATGCATAGGGGTCCTTCATCGGTGTAAGTTTAATGACATTCGGAAGTTGTTTGGGCACTGAAGTGGTGGCCAGAAAAAAGTGCACAAATTAAATGGCCTTTTGGGGAGAAGAAGAAGAAAAAGAAAAAAAAAATCAGAACAAAAGGAATGTCTTTTTCGCAGAGTTGCGAAAAAGCCAATAATCATTTTAGGCTTGCGGCCGAAGTTTGTTCTTGGAGGCAAGTCCATTTTTGGAGGGTCCTTTTTCAGATTCTGCACATTTTATGCAAGATTTGGTGTTGCCTGTGTTGCATGCCCTAACAATGCATGCGTGTTGGCCTATTTCATGCTCATGGCGGGAAAAAGAGAGCATCAGTTTAGGCCTATCATGCTGCATCCGAACACCAAGCTGGACTAAGAAAGGGCGCAATTTCCCCAGCAAACTGCACTTGGCTGGTTCACAAACGAACGTGACATGTAGGCCTACGTTAAAGTGCATAGAATACTGTCACAGGTCTACATATATTGTTGAACTTTCCCCAAATTAATATATCAAGCTGTATTAAGGACATGGGTAAAAAAATCCCCATAAGCGAACTTGTACGTCCAACTTGAACCTACGACAGACGGAAGATTTTGCAAGGCTCGAGGTTTCCATGCTCTGAATTAGAATTGGGCCTGCATGCATTACAACTTTTCATTGTGCATCGTGGATTGTTGTCTGTCTTCTTGTCACCTCAACTGTTTTGTGTTAGTTTTTGTTTTAAACCTTACACGAAGCCCGTTTTTGCAATTAAAAGTTGCTTTTTTACAAGACTCTTTTGGTTTTGTTTTAGGTAATCATTTTATTAACATCGTGGTGGATCTCTGTCATTCCACTTGGCCTTTTCGGTAAATAGGACCAGAGCCGAAATAATCGTAAGGCATTATCAAAGAAATAAGACACCCTATTAGACAAACACAAAGTGCTCGAAACTAACTCTTTATTTCTACAAAGGGAAAAAAATCAACGTAAAAGGTATGCCAGAATTTATACTGTGCTGAAAGGCATTAATCACGAACAATCACAATATGCCATTTTTATAGTTGAGTACCCTAAATTCGCGCAAACAAATATTCGCGCATCCAACTTACTTGTGAAACTCTTTAACGAATTATGCACTGACGTTAATTTACTGTTGATGTTCGATCATCACTTCGACGTTTTTCGTTTTGTAGCTATGTGCGATTTAAAAGCTTTTCCAGGTAGAATCGGGAGGAAATATCAACAGAGCACAAAGCTTTACTTTACAGATTAAATGCAAAATGCAACCGGTTGAAATTGTCTAGAAAATGGCTAAATGATCGCTGGTCGTTCACGATCGATGTTGGACGTCCGATACGGGCACTAATGCCGACTTCCATCAACTCTTGCCAAATATTGAGGGCGTTAACAAAAATATGGACCCTGAAAAAATACTGTGCACCTTATATTGTGAGATTACCGTTGGCGACGACGGCCGCGGGTTCGCTGGAATTGTATTTTGTGACTTTTTCAGAAATACACCGAGAAAGAGAAGTGTTTTTCATAATATCCAGATAATTACTGATATTAATGCTAATTATGACGTATTTGAAAGATTAAAAAATCATGCCTCACGGTAACTTTTAATTAAATTGAAAAAAAAAATAAATCTAGGAAAATGAAAAAGAGAAAGTGATCGTAAGTCAAGCTATTGCGAATAAAAGGGTTTGTTCCCTCAAACTGCACTATTAAACCAAAGAAATGAATGCAAAAAATAATTTTTCATTCTAGAGTTGTTAATAACTGGCAGATTTTTCAGAAGAAGGGCATTACTGATACCCAATAAAATGACGTTTGCAACGTTCTTGCGCCAATTACGGCGACGTAGGTTTTACTACAGTCGATCCGACTCGTTTGCAGACGACAGTGTTCCTGTTGCTTCTTCATAAAATTATTCCACGTTGGATTTTATTCAGACTTTGAACTACTGAAATTGAAGCCACAAAAAAATTGGTATATTCAAGAACAAATTTTAGTCAAAGTACGAAGTGCGCAAATTATGGTGACTCATGGATAACCAAAGTACTTTCCTCGTTAACGCATTTTTTTTCTGAAAAGTACAACGTGTCCCGGTAAAGGTGTGAGCACATGCTGTCATTTTGGACAGATGTCATCTGCGATTTTTAGCTTGCACCATTTCTCACAAGGGGTCATACTGGCTTCTAAAATCACAGAGATGCGTCAATCGGTATTTTTTATTCACTGGAGACTCCTCATCATTCAACATTCAAAGAAACAACATTTAGACAAATAAGAATTTAGCCAAAATGTTGGATTCAAACAGTTTACGCAACAAATATGAAGATTATGAAGATAATTATAGGTAGTACATATTTTTAATGGAGAACAAACAGGCAATATATAAATAAGCAATGATAAAGTATCCAAGTTTGCCCTGTGGTGAATGATCTTTGTATAAAGAAGTTGTTACATCTGTGGAGAAGTTTCATGTTTTCTCATCAGAGAGGTAGCTGAGCTTTGCTAAATGTTGGAGGATGGGGAAAGGTGGGGGATGGCTTGCCTGGCCATGGAAATTTGAAAAGGGGGGCTGTACCGTGTGCACTTGGGATGATGTTCATGAGAAAGATGTACGTCTGTAATGCATATCAAATTCAGGCAGAATCTTACATCAGAATGGCATATTTATGGCTTTTAAAAATTGATTTCCCTCTTCAATAATATTTCAACTGGGGGATGATTCAGTAACCTACCCCCCCCCCACAAATAGTGCAGGGGGATGTATGCCCCCATCTCCCGGGATTTACGCCCATGCTTCACATCAGTGCACGTTTTCAAATGAATAACTTCCACAAAACTTTATCTTGCTGCTGGATTGGATTCTCATAATGTTTTCTTCGAGCCCAGGATGATACATTCCTCAGCTATCTGGGCCACGGACTGAAAACCCTCTTTCACTTCCTGCGGCGGAAAGTATATCTCTCATTGGAAAGCGATTATTGGCAGGAATGTATCTCGGTTGAGAAAGATTAATTCTGCTAGGATCGAAATGTCAGGCTCTCCATATTTTGAGGGATAAACAATCGGCAAGATTTGTGTCTTGCGAAATATCGGGTCAGTGTATTCCACGCGAGGAATTTTTATATTGCTAGCGCCAATAGTTGTTTGAATGCAGACCATTTTAGAGTAGACCGACTGAAAAATGCAACCTGCATTGGAGGCTTGGAGCACTAGATCCAAGAACAGTTGAGAAACAAAAAGATACGAAAAAAATTAATTAAAACTAATGCTAAGTTAAATTGAATGGACATAATAGTCCTCTTCTTTGCCATTGGTCAGTTTCATTTCCTGGTGAGGCTCAGGTCCGGAACTGTTGTTTTCTGCAATGAAAGATAGCCACGTACATGTACTTTCCAGTTAGGCTTACCATAAGTGAAAGTGTACCTTTAAGCTAGAGGACTGACATGGCAGCCATGCAGACACTGGTTTCTTGTGAAAACACCTTGAAAATGTTGGTTTGTTTTCATGCTCTCATTTTGTTGCTTTTTCAGGTTTGGAAGTAGTTGTAATGCAAAACAACGCACTACACATGCCCACTCTCTCTGTTACTCTCCGCGAGCTAGCCGGTACATGTGTTACCTCACCTTTGCGAATCTACTTAGCGTCATCAGTTTGGCGCCTTTTTGCCAGAAGCTGTTCAAGTCGGGGGTTCAACTCAGTTTCATCCCTTTTGCTGTGGAATGCTGTGGAAGTTGGAAGAATAATCAAAATGTTTTACCCCAATAGGTACGCAAATGTTGATATGTTGATATATCACACATAAGGTTTTTGTTATCAATAATTACACCATAGATGTAAAACTTTCAAGTGTGTTTTGTCTATATTAGTGACGTGAATAAAATATGGCCAAAGTAGACACTCGGCAATGTAATCCCTTCAACGGTGTCAATACCTGAAGGCATATCCGACTTTTTTTTCTTGTTTAAAAAACTTGAATGCTTGTTGGTTAAATGGGAAAGTCTTAACCTCTACAGTCCTGCAACTCGTCTTCGCCATAGCGACAATCAATGATGCGGTCACATGTAAACGCCTGTGGGATTTCGGTGCCGTCAGAACAGCGGAATGTTTCTAGATATGACACAAAGAAATTTATTGTCAAGTCGAGTAAAGAACGACTGTTTTTTTGTTCATCATCAGCTACACTATTAGACATATTTAATGTGCAAGACCCCATTTAGAAAAGCTTCAAATATTTATTTTTGTCAATACAGCTATGAGGCCCTAGCTGGACCAAGAGAGGGCGCAATTTTCCTAGCAACGGAGACTCCTTTTAGTGGGAAATCAAGATCAAATGGTTGGAACAGCACTTCGCTGGTTCACAAACGAATATGAAATGCACTTGTTACAGTCGCATCACTACAAGTGTGTTCCTTACCATAACAGTGGTGTTCATCTTCCCCACTGTAGCAGTTCGAGTACCCGTCGCATCTCTGGTAGTCAGGAATACACTGACCGGTGAAAGGACACCGCCATTCATAAGAACTGCAACTGTACGAAGGTTCTTCGGTATAGGACGGGCTCTCTGTGTAGTAACCTGGAGATTCATGAGATTTGAAGGGTAAGCAAATACAAACAAGCTAAGGAGGCTATATTCTCAATTACCTTCTCTCTTATCCTCATCTTATACTATCATTGTGGTGTCACAAGTACCTCTCTAAGATTGGGAGAATCCAACAGTTGCAATTCACAATAGCGCACTCCAAGAGTTTGCAACGTGTTGGCCAATCACAGTGTGCGAAATCTGTCGAGCCTTTCCAAATGCCTATTGGGTTGGCAGATTTCGCGCATTGCGATTGGCGAACGCGCTGCAAACTCTTGGAGGTGTGCTATTGTGAAACTCTCATATTGCATATTGTATTCCATGTCTTCTGTCATGCTACGGTGTATATTAAAACTGTTTCATTCCCCATTCCTTCCAAAGGAGTGTCAAAATTCCCCAAAGTTAGCCTTTTGACCATTTTGCCCCCACCATGTGTCTGTGTAAAGACGATCCCCTTATGTTAGTGAATTTGTTGAAGCTTCTTACCATTACAGTCGCTTTCATCTTCCCCGTAGTAGCAGTTGGAGTATCCGTCGCATCTTTGGTAGTCTGGAATACACTCACCGTTGTGATAGCATCGCCATTCGTAGGGACTACAGCTGTAAGAGGGTTCTTCAGTGAAATAGGATGGGCCCTCTGTGTAGTAACCTACAGTTGAAAGCAGTTTTCAAGACCACAGGTTCTTGGAGAAGTTTTACTTTAACTCATCGCCATTCCTAGAACTGAATTGCTTAGAACAATGAGATAGGCCTAGACTGTCAGTACTGAGAAATGGGTTTGTAATATACTGCTGAAAAACGAGGCCACAAGTGAAGTAAAACCCACTAATTCCATCTCATCTGCTGAAGGTTCTTACCGTAGCAATTGTACTCATCTTCTCCAAGGTAACAGTTGGAGTATCCGTCGCACCTTTGGTAGTCTGGAATGCACTGACCGTTGTAATAGCATTGCCATTCATATGAACGGCAGCCGTACGAAGGTTCCTCGGTATTGAAGGGTGGGCTTTCTGTGTGGTAACCTGAATTTCATGAAATTGCATTGTAACAGTATGTACAAGCAATCATAGGAGAGTTAGAAATTCACCCTTTACCCTTTTCGCGTCTAACACTATCATTTTGTTACACTAGGGAGAATTAAAGAACGCTCAGTTTCATCTTTTTAAGTTATTGTCTGCTAGAACTATTTCATATCCCTTTCAACTTGAGTGTGTAATAGCCACCCCACCACCCATTGAGCTTGTAGACTATACACCCCGCAATACCTGAAAAGGTTACACGAAGAAACTTTTGAACATCCCCTAACAAAATATTCCATGTTTGTCTGGAGTTCATGTTGTAAAGTGTACACAGAGAGGGTCTCTAAGAATGCCTTTATTTGTCAACAACTTGGATTTATGTATAGCAAATCAGTTACTTAACTCATGCCGTAAGTCACTGGAATTGTATTTTTCCAAAAATTTGGGCCTCGACCATTGTAAGGCTTGGACTTGATTCGCGTTGTGATTTCTGATGACAGCTTCGAGTGCAGTCGTATTTGTTACCCATTGAGACACGAGCTGAGTCAAGTGAGTGGCACAACGTTGTGTCTCCAACTGAATTTCAACCAAGTACATGGCTTGATTACACTGCAACTATGCTGAAGTTGACTTCAGCTTGGACTGGATTCGCATTGTGATTTCTGATTACGGCTTCGAGTGCAGTCGTATTTATTACTCATTGAGACACGAGCTGGGTCAAGTGAGTGGCACAATGTTGTGTCTCCAAATGAATTTCAACAAAGTACATGGCTTGATCACACGTACTGCAATTATGCTGATGTGTCTTGTGTTATATCTGTTTGAGTTACTTACCATAACAGCCGTATTCATCTTCCCCGTAGTAGCAGTTGGAGTACCCGTTGCATCTTTGGAAGTCTGGAATACACTGACCACTGTAATAGCATCGCCATTCGTATGGACTGCAACCGTAAGAGGGTTCTTCGGTGTAGCACGGTGGACTGTCTGTGTTGTGCACTGTAGTGGGGGAAACTTGCATTTGTCAAAAACAGGGTGGGGGGGGGTTGAAGTGTTGGGCACCTATTCTGCATTCTAAACAGTCATGATGGTATTTCCACTTACCCTGGCTAGGTCGGTGTTACCCAAACGCCAACCTATTATAACTATAGCTATTTAAACTTAATCATGCTTACCCGGCGTAACAGCAGTGTAATAACTTGTAATATCATTATAAGACTTATAATCTCATTATCGTCATTTCACCGTATGGCCATAGATCACGTGATCCGTAAGATGGTAGTTCATCTTATTAAAGTGATCTGAGAAGTGTGATATAAATTGACATAATCCATGAATTGTGATGGTTTATAAAGCCTCTAATATCACATGAATTTAAATTGTCGTGAAAGAGATATCCCAGAAGGGCACTGCCACATTTAGCTGATGGGTAAATGATGTGCCACTGATAAGCAGCCGACGCACATCAATGCAAATGTCCGAGTCTTTGGATTGCAAGGCAAATTACTAGGTGCATATGAAAACGCTGGGCTGACGGTCCCAACTCACCGGGGGCTTCCCCGCAGGTAACTCCCGCATCTTCGTGATGTCCGCAATTGTGGCTAAACCAGCCTCTATGTTGACATTCAGCTATACTGGATTCGTTGCCTCGGCAGTTGACATCATCGAGAGCAATCAGACCAGAGCCTTGACCGAAGTGGGCGTTTCTCCAGGCATCGGTTGCAGGTGGTAAGCCAAGCATGCGACAGACGACGTTAGCGTCAGCAACGCCCCAATGATCGTCACAAACCGTTCCCCACTGACCTTGGTAATACACCTCAACGCGACCTTCCTTGGAGGAGCTACCACCCACAAGGCGAACTGAGACTAAACAAAAAGGCGAACAAACTGTGATTTCTCAAAACTAGTTGTTGGGCCCAATGGGTCCAATTTCGGCAGCGTGAAATGCAAGAAGGGACGTGTTGTAGGACAATCACAAGACTAATTTCGGATGGTTTCCATTAACAAAGTTTGGCTTTCATTGTTGGAATGCACCCAGAAATGTAAACCAGTAGTTTCAGTTGATTCTCAACGAAGTACTTTCTAATAGCATCAGTTCTGTTGTCTCTCTCTATAGCCATGCGTGACCCAGGTATTTGTTTTCTGGTGTCAAAATGAGAATACAAAGTAGTGTTCGAACAAAGTATACAATTATGGCATATGTTCACTAACTACAGTGCAATTGCACAAAATATCATTTTCCTTGGTTAGAACCAGTGCTGTAGTCGAGGCCATCACATAGACCAGACACATGGCCAGGCGCAAGACCAGTCACAGTAACAGGGTGAACAGTGACAAATGAATGCTTTTGTTGCAGTTCATGTGAATAGCTTGCAATTTGAATTCTGGAGGTCTTGTGTTTGTCTTGTGATGGTCTTAAGTGGTCTCCGCTACAACTCTGCTTTAAACAACATGCAACGTATGTACAATTACCGTTACAATAACTTTCATCTTCCCCGTAGTAGCAGTTGGAGTAT